ACAAACCAATGCTTAAAGTCAATTTGGAGGAGGATTAAACCAATGCCCAAAGTACCATAGCATCTTGGACAATTGAGCCCACATCCCACATATTTGGGGAATCAAATTTAGACACACCTATGTATAACAGTTCAAATACACCTCTAGTAGATATGGATCTTTAGTTTCGAGCTTTCCCTCAAGATTTTGAAACACCTCTGCCACGGAGAGGTTTCCACACCATTATAAAAAATGTTTCATTCCCCTCTCCAATCAATGTGTAATCTCACAATCTACCTCATTCAGAGCCGAGCGTCTTGGTTGGTATTTGTTCCTTTCTCCAAGAGATGTGGGATCCTCCAATCCACTCCCTTCAGAGCCCAGCGTCCTTGTTGGCACGCTGCCTCGTGTCCACCCCCTATTTGGGGCTCAACCTTCTCGTTGGCCCGATGTGCAATCTAACAATCCACTTCCTTTAGAGTCCAATGTCCTCATTGGCGCTCGTTCCTTTCTCCAAGAGATGTGGGACTCCCCAATCCACTCCTTTTGGGGCCCAGCTTCCTTGTTGGCACGTTGTCTCGTGTCCACCCCCCATTCGAGACTCAGCCTCCTCATTGGCCTGAGTTTAATCTCACAATCCACCTCCCTTCAGGACCCAGCGTCCTCGCTAGCACTAGTTTCTTTCTCCAAAGATGAGTGATCCCCCAATCCACCCCCTACGAGGCTTAATGTTCTTGCTAGCACACCGCCTTATGTCCACCCCTTCGGAGCTCAGCCTCCTAGCTGGCACATCGCCCGATGTCTGGCTCTGATACCATTTGTAACAGCCCAAGCCCACCACTAGAAAAGATTGTTTTCTTTGAGTTTTTCGTTTCAAGTTTCCTCTCAATGTTTTTAAAATGCTATTAGAAAGAGGTTTATCTCACCCGTAGTACTCCCCATTGCCAAAATATGAACACTCCATGTGATGTCTCTCAAAGCATACCGTTGCTTCTTTTAATACCCAGTTCCACGAAAGGGTTGATCAATAAATTTTTGTCCTCAATCAATTTTCCCAACGCTTTCTTTTTGGACCATTCTACTTGAAGTAATACACAATTTTGGAAATGTTGTTACCACAAGTTTTGTTACCTTAATTTGATCCAACTTTCTTTAATAAGTACAACCATAACTTACTCTTCTATCTTTGAGCAAACGTGCAATAAACTATTATTTGAGCACCTAAATTTTACCATTCTTCATCTCAATGCACTCAAACAAAGCTTAAATAAAAGGAAAATAGAGCAATGCATGGTACTTATTGAACAACCTTTACAACAAGTGGTTGTAATGGTGAATTTAAGTCTCATGGGCCGAAAGTTGAACGCATCGCACGACCCATGTGCCAAACGGAAGCGTCAGCCGGTGGTGCGTTGAGCATGATCCATGTGTCGTCAAACTAATTGTTAGGATTGCAAGACTCAGACACACGATCAAGATGAAGAACACAAAGAATAAAAGAAAGAAGACATAAAAAAGAAATATATGTGGTAACATCGAAGTGGAAAACTCAATAGGAGCTAAAAGTTTAATATTAAAGTCCATCTTAAAAACTCAGAAACCAAGTGTTACACCTCTTGGTTTTATACCATCTCAATTTTTCAACATCAACACATTTTGTTAGCTTGACAAACACACCTACCCTGCCGAAATTAGCATTCTTGACACACTTATGAAGTCTTTGATTAACCCTCGGGTTCATTATCTAACTGTCTTGTCCGACATTTTTTTTTCGTACATATTCGACAACGACTTCAATAGATTTCACGTTGTCTTCTCCTTGACGATGTTGAACGCTACATTTCTAGATACTGTCAAGTGGGTAAACCCTAGAACCTACCGATCATTGAACTTTCACTACTCATTTCTAAAAAAGCTGACAAAAGGCCATGGAACACATCAAAGTTCAGTACAACCTTCCATTCCTAAATGTATGACAAACTGAGAGATTGAATTAGATCCTCAAAACATGCACTTGTAAGAGCATGTGTTATGAATTTTGCAGGAAGATGGGACGAGCACTTGCACCTAATAGAGTTCACCAAGCTACTATTTAGATGGCACCATTCAATGTAGCGTATGAATGAAGGTTTTCGTCCCGTATATTTGGGGAAGAAGTGGACAAATATCAGTTGTTAGGGCCAAAATCAGTTCAGCCTACGAACATAGCACAGTAAATAAAGTTGGGGATACAAATTGCAAAGAGCCCATACGCAGACTCACGCAAGACGATATTGGAGCTTTCTTCGATGACAATGTCATTCTTAAGGCTTCACCTTTGAGAGGGAAATAAAGGTTTAAGAAGAAGCGCAAGTCGTGCATGTGTCAATATTGCATAAAGAAAAATTGGGTAGTTTTGTATTTGTTTTATCCTGACGTCACATAGAGACTATTTGAAGTAGCTAACGCTTATAGAGAACCTATTAACTTATGCTACAAACCCTAAACTAAACAAACTTGGGCATGCCATCTTAAGCCAAACGTACACCAATGAACCAAAGCCGCTCGCCCGTAAAGTGTGTCACGGAATCTTGTAAACAAAGAAAGCAAAAGGAAAAGATGGAAGTGGAAGTCCAAAGAAAACACATAACACATGATGAGAAGACAAGATGGAGAAAGGGAGGAGATTGATTGACGCATAGTATGTTATTATGAAATGGAGCATTTGAATGGATTCATAATCACCCTCCTCCCACTTCCCTTGCTGGAGGGCTTGGCTTTGGAGTCCAATCAATCTATTTCCGTCGGCAGTGCTCACACACATCTCTCTGATTCGACGTTTCTGGGATTCTATGTTCTATTTGTGTACACTGTCTTCTCACGTGGCCTTCTATTTTTCCTCTCTTTCGTTTCTGTCCCCCACCTTCAAGCTCCTATCAATTTTTTTTTTTTTTTTTTAAAGATTTTATATCATACCAAATATGTATGCTTTTTAAAAAAGTTGAATATATGATTGTCGGGTTTTGAAATCGCTATTATTACATTCCCATTCCTTCTTGATAAGTGTAACGATCCATGTCAATCTCTAATAAATATTGTCATCCTTGGACTTTCTCTTTTGTGCGTACTCTCGGAGTTTTTAAAATGTGTCTACTATGGAGAGGTTTCTACATCATTATAAAGGGTGCTTCGGGGCTGAGCGTCCTCGTTGGCACTCGTTCCTTTCTCTAATTGATGTGAGACCCAAATCGAATACCCGCAGCCCCAAATCGTTGGTCCAGTCCAAAACCATAGCGATCCTTGTTGCAACCCGCGACCTGCCTACAAACCCGTGACCTGTCTCCAACCTGCTTGCAGAACCCGAGGCCCAATTATAGCTCTACCCAAAACTCAAAACCAACCCAGAAGCCCAAACGCCTTGCACTCAATACAATAGAATATCCTTATAATACTTCAGTCTTAGTGTCTAAATGAAAGACAAATAAGAATACTCACCCGCCACCCAGCCAGCGAATCGAAGCCCAGTAAGCCAGCCTACAGACGCGACCTGTGAGGCTGACTCGAATTGCTCTGCAACCCGTGCCTCAACCCAACGTCATCTGCATGACGTGGCTCGCCCTGCTGCTACCACGTTTCACCTTGCGGCACAGGTAGCCCTTGGGCTCGGCTTGACTTGGACGGCGTGGCGGCAGAGAATATTTGGTCAAATATCCTTAACAACGGCGACTTTGGCAGCTATTCGGCACGATTTTCCAATTTTAGCCCCGTTTCCACCATTACGACCCTTCCGAACCTCTTTTCAGCCCAAATTAAAGTAATTGAGGTCGTTTTAGTGCTGCATTTCACAATTATTAGTTGGATTAAAAATTAAATTGTGAAATACTAACGGTGATGAACGATGTGATAGGAAACGAATCCTAACAATCTTTGGAGCAGTCCTCGAAGAGAGGGAGCTTATCTAATAAAATTAGAAAGTACTCCGGCTAAAACCAACTAAGTAAGTGGTCTTACTATCGGATAGACTAGCAATTATGCATGTTACCGTTACATTTACGATGTATGATGATGATAATGTATGTAATTTATATATTTCAATGTATGACATACATGATGTGTTTGATGCACTTAATGACTTTATGATGAGAATGATGATTGCATGACTTTTATCTTAATATGTTGATGTTTTCCATATTAAGCATTTTATATGATAATGAGTATCATATTGCATCATGTCGGTAGATCGACCTAGGACACAACTCTAAGAGTATGAAAATAATATTAATATAAATATCCAACGAGCACGTGTTAATTAATGTAACAAACAAATAAGACTAGAGAGTTGTGTCAAAAGAGATGTTAAGATGGGAATTAGAAGGACCTCATGCATGTTGTATGTACATAAGTATAGCGATACTTCTCCTAGAGATGACGAGTGCAAACGTGCACAGTATGATGAGCATGGTGATCATGGGGAGCATGACACCAGAGGTTTTGTTGACACCGAACGTCGCTACAGACAGCTAGCTTGAAAGAGAGGGTCCAAGTATAATGCTACTGTTTACTATGAAAATACGATGATTCAAAAAACGAGAGTGGTGTTAAAAAAATACGACGACTCAAAAAATTCGATTAATTCAAATCGTACTGAGTATGTTACATGGTTGGAAAAAACCAACTCTATTTGAAAATATACATTTTTTTTACATTTAATTTAATTTTATTTCATAATTATTTAGAATCTTAAAAACAATTTAAAACTATTTTAAAGGTCATTTAATTCAGATATTTTTAAGGTTCTCCAAAAAAAAAAAATAGATATTTTTGCTCCAATAATATGAGGACGTGGACTCTTATAAAAAATGATAGTCATACAGGCAGCACCATGTCAAGCTAGATTCCTCACAGACGGTTAACCCCGTCACCCACAATTCTCAAAGCTCTCATCGCCGTCTGATCTACATCTTGGCTCTACCTGATTATAACACGTGGATCTAAACATTGACATCCAGTGCGGTGACAGCCGGTTAGGAATAAGCGGGTTTTACGTCACAGTAGATTATTATCTTCTTCCACAGTGCAAAAACTGCAAGCAAGAAAATAAAATCCCAGTCTCCTCGTTTGAACCTCACGAACTTCGGCGACTGTGGAGGGTTTGCTTTGTGTTGATTCGTGAAGCCTCTCTCATGGAGTCGATTGGCTGTAGTTTGAGTTCTTTATCGCTTGCGCAATTCAGGGCAACTAGTTTTTCGGTTCAGGAGCTGTTGTTCGGGCCTTGCCGGAGACCTTCATCGCCGATAGTTCATGCATCTGTGGCTCGGAGCTTTTCTACGTCTTGTCGATCTACGGGGCTCCGGAAATCTACTTCAATCGCCGCTAGTGGCACCTTGATGGCCAATTCTGTACCGGTGTGTGGTTCTGTTCTTAATTGTTTCTGTTGCTTTGTTTTTTTTTTCGAATACTCTTTACGAATTTACCTAATGCTTTTGAGGAATGTAGCTTGGTAGATTTTGATTAGATTTTTATGATTGAACTTCCTCCGTCATGGTGAAGAAAGCAAAAGATTGAACTAAATATTCACTATGAAAGAGCAATGCCAACTTGTAGGATAGAATCTTCTTTAAAGAAGAGATCAGATTTCATTGATGAATGAAATAAAGTCACATCACCCACGATTTTGTGCATTATAATTTTGAATAGCCTCATTAACAACGAGAAATTTGATATGAACTTGCTTCCCCTCTACAAATCTCTCAGGTTAGTGGATATGCTTAATGGAAAAAAGTGTTTCCATCTCCTTCTCTGATCCGCTCACTTAGAACTTTTTCTTGAACTAACCTTCTACAGTTTGACAAGAACACCAATTTTCTTCCATGAATTCTTTTAGCTCTACTGTGTTTTTGCTTACCTTGTGAACAAAAACATAAAATCTAAACAACTACAAGAAAAATTACTTTCTATTCTGGAAATTTTTGTATTGATTAATCCATCAACAGGGGCCTTCATAGAAAAGAAAAATTATCCTTCATTTTCTATGACATCTTGTGATCTGGTGAAGAGGTAGAAGGGACAGGTCAACATGGCCTGGAATTGAAATTTATACTCACGAGCAGTGTTCTTCTGAGTAACTGTACTCTGAATTTGTTCTCATCTTGTAATCTTTTCTTGAGTGTTAGAAATTTATTCTTCTTTCCTTAATATTTTGATATGCAGTCAAGTAATGGTGTGTACACTGTTGGTGACTTTATGACTAGGAAAGAGGAGTTACATGTTGTAAAGCCCACAACCACTGTCGAAGAAGGTAATTGGAATTTTTGGATATTTCCCCCCAGCCCTGTGGGAAATGTGGCTTATTATCTCTGTTTATGAACAGCTTTAGAAATTCTGGTGGAGAAAAGGATCACAGGATTTCCAGTAATTGATGACAATTGGAAACTGGTATCATTTCCAGACTGCTACCTAAAATGCTTAGAATTTGTGTGAATTTAGCTCATCTGAATTTCTTTTTGAGCCCTTAGACTCCTGTATCTGTATTATCAATCAAGTGTATGTTTGATTTAGATGGCTTAATATATCAATGCTCGTAATAAAAATACTTCTTGATGCAGGTTGGTGTCGTATCGGACTATGATTTGTTAGCACTAGACTCCATCTCAGGTATATCAGAACTTTCTTGTTATTGCTGATACAACTACCATTGTTTATCCCGTTTGAGAAAGATTGTTCGGTTGTCTTATCTTTGGGTGTTTGGCTATTTGTACCATCTCTTCCTATGACATGTTTTCAGGCGAATTACAGACAGCATTAATAAAGAGAGAATCTAACTTCTTGGATGTATTAATTTTTTTCCCAAATTTTTCTTTATGTTGAAAGATGCATCAGATCATTTGTTACTCATGAATTATGTTAGTCATTACTTTAACCTGAGAATATTTTTGCATAAGGTCAAGTATTTTAGATTGACAAGATTTCCGAATGTTCTAATTAGGTGGTGGAACAACGGATGGAAGCATGTTTCCTGAAGTTGACAGCACGTGGAAAGTATGCATTGACCTCCTTTTTTGGCGTTTAATTGTAGTTGTTTGCTTCATACTCTTTACTATCATTGCTCCCGATGACTTTATGTATTCAATTATTTCTTCTGAGTCTTAAAAGAAGTAGATAACATAACTTTGTGAAAAGTAGAAGGTAAGAGTCACTGTTCTAATCTACCATGTAAATAATAAAGAGCTTAGACGGAATTGGTTCAAGTCATGGTAACCACCTACCTAGAATTTAATATCCTACGAGTTAGAGAATAGTCTAGGTGTGTGCAAGCTGGTCAAAGACACTCACGGATTAGAAAAGATCACTGTTTTGGTAAGAGCCTTTATTTCAAAAAGAGCTTGAACCTTTCAGTTTCAACGACTCGGGTAATATTAGCAAAAAGCATGAGGATAAGTTCACTGGTCAAATATTTCATTTTCATGGGTCTTGGTTTGTTTTCTCATTTATGGTTGTGGTTCATTTTTCTTGCTCATGAAAATCGCTGTCGGACTGATGATCAAAACACTTATATGGCTTTGAATTCGAGTTATGGTTGATCTATTATTTCAACTCCTTCATATGGTACTAGTTTGTAGAGGACATGAAATGAAAATCTTCTGCACAAATGGTTTCTCTAATTCTAAATCATCATCCTTGTAGACATTTAATGAGGTACAAAGTCTTCTAAGTAAAACCAACGGAAAGGTGGTCGGCGATTTGATGACACCGGTGCCTCTTGTTGTTAGAGAAAATAGTGATCTTGAGGACGCTGCTAGGTTCAAACATGCTTTTTTCCTTTTTCTTTATAGTATCATATCATTTCCTTAACTTCTTCGCTTTGAACCATTTCTATTTTCTCAAATGCAGATTATTGCTTCAGACAAAGTATCGCCGCCTTCCAGTGGTAGATGCGGATGGAAAGCTGGTAAGAGATATCTATCTATTCCACTCCTCATCTGAATTATTGGTTGTTTTTGGCATCAAAATGATGAAACCTTTCATGAAGGTTGGGATTATCACAAGAGGCAATGTGGTAAGAGCTGCTCTACAGATTAAACGGGCTGAAGAAAACAGGACATGATTTTCCTATACTCAGAATCAGTCAATCTGCATGCTGTTAGGTATGAGGACTCTGAAATGCAATCATACAATTTTGGGTCATGATTGTATTAATGTACACAACACTTTGTATAAATGGATATGATCTTGTTTTAACCATAAAACTAATAAAAACTGTGTTCTTATCAAAATATACAAATTTGTGACACCTTTCACAAGTCGCAGAGATTTGGTTGATAAATGTATTTTAGTGTCAAACAAACGTTTTCTTTGACAATTTTTAGTTGTCAACAAGACAGTTTGAAACATCAAAACAAGAACAAGGACTATTCATGAGTTGGTACCTTTTAAATGTCGATATAGTTGCCGACAGACACATTTGAACTTGTTTGAATCTAAGATTGTTGAAGCAGGGACTGTTTATGATTGAAGTGATAATTTTCTACTAAAATCAAGGGTGTATAGCATAGTTACAATGTTTTCTACATATTATTCACATATGCACATATGGACTCAGGCGAGATCGTATCCCTTAGACTTGACTTTGACTAGCATACTTTCGAACAGAGTCGTATATGTACCCCCTTGACTTGTGAGTCGTATATGTACCCCCTTGACTTGAGTTTGACTAGTGTACTCTTATGCTACCAGTAGTAAGTGTACATAATATTGTATCATAACGTCATAGTGTACACGTATGTACTAATCATAACATAACAGAGAAATGTTATGAAATATTTCAATGCATGTGAACATATAATATGCATGAAATCCCTAGTTTAAAATCATGATACAAGATTTATTTTTGTTCATTTCATATGTAACGTAATTATTTTGTAACCTCATAATGTAGTATATAATATAGTATAACACTTCATAACATAGCACGATTTTCAATAACATGATGTGTGGCCATGATATTCTATAACATGACATACCTCCTCATTACAACATAACATATTCACAAGACAAAATTAATATAATAAATATACATTAAACAATCACAAAGTACGGCCACAAGGTACATACCATTCATATTTCAAGCAATTCATTCAACTAAAACTATATACTTATGCTATATGCTATGTGAAGGTGTCTTATCGTGAGAGATCTTTGAGACTCACTCTACCGCACACATTTGCTTCGAATCATGTGTTAAGCTGCTTTAACCTTCGAAAAATAACTCTATCTGCACGTATGACAAATATGATTGAAATTCGCTCTACAATGTTCTTGAAAATTACTCTGAGCATAATATGATAGAGATTTGTTCTATTACGGAACGTGGGTTTTTAAATTGATCTTGCACGCCTCCATTACTTTTTGGGAGGCCTACGCCCCAGAGAAGCTGTTTACCTAAGAATATTCTATCATTTAATTTATCGTTGAATCTATCATTTTATCCTTGTCTTTCCACAAAATTATGGGAATTAATCGATAAAAACATAAAGAAATAGAGGATGAAAATATTTTGGTCGGATGGGAAAGATGAATATGAAAAGGAGACGTTTTTTTTTGGAGAAAAGTAAAAATGGAAGAAATAGAATCTTCCGCCAATCATGGAGTAATCATCGTCCAAATCATCACAACTCCCTAAAACAGTGCTATACAGTTGTACTTCCTACACCATTTAATAATCACCTACCCCTCCACCATTTCCACATTTCTTTCCTTTTTTTTATTCTTTTCCTTTTTCTTTTATATTTACGATGTAACTCATCGGATCGTCGTGATAATTGTTATCATGGTTGTATTTATTTGTCGAGCTATGTTCGAATTGTTAGTTCTCTATTCTAATTATTAGATTACGAGTTTGGTCTGTAAATTTTTAAGATGGCTTAGTCTCTAAACCTTGAGTACAACGATCAAAATTGGACATTTGAAAAAATGACTAAAACGATAAATGTTATAATGAAATATTAATTATTAATGATTAATTTAGCTGATAAGAGTGTCAAAACATTTATTAGAACGATAATGAGAATTGAGGTTGATCAAGAACTACAATGAACTCTTTGATTCGAGTGTCATCATCGCACTAAACAAGAAAGCAAGGAGAAGAATGGCACCGAAAGCCTGGAACATGTAGGGAGCTTTTCTAGAAAGGTTCTGATTGAACAACGATAAGCGTGTAATCAAAATAAAACCCCACATTTGTCAACGACATGCATTTAAAAATTGAGTGAAACTGATCGAGGTTGTGAGATGTACCTTTCGATAGACAAAAGTGTAATTATCCACATATTTGCCGATTGTCGATAATTACTATAAAGTCAAGGATGAAAAGATAAAAATGTGACGAGTCATATGTGTAAAGAGACAAGATATGAGTTTGAGACTCGACAGAGTGAATGGTGAATTCAATTATGAAGTCGAATACGACAATGCTTCATATATTACATAAAATTCAGTTTGAGTTGAACCAAATAAAAAAAATGTCTAATAATTCAAGCTTAACCCAACCCGTACGGTTTAGATCGAGTAATTTAGACTCTTCGAGCTACAAAATTACTTAAACGCCCTTAGATTAATCTATAACGTAATATAATTCAAACGAGTATTAAATAATTTTTGTCCTATCTTAAAAGCCTTTTGGTTGAACTTACCCTTTGGCACTTTAGATTTTTTTATTTTATTTATTTCATATCAATAATTTTAAAAATATATATTTAATTTCAAATTAAGTATAAATTTAGTCATGTAGGTCTTCACCTAATTTTAGTATTAGTGCTTTTGTTTAATCTCTGAATTGTAATAAAAATAGTTTTAATAATTGCAAATTTTTTTATTTAATTATTTTAAAAAACCCTACAAGACATTTACTTATTTACTAAGATATGTATATATGTATTTTTTTTAATTATTAATAACTTTATAGGGTAAACTAAAATATTTGAAAATTGAGGGCCTAAAATAGCATTGGGAGAATAAATAAATATATTGGAATCTAAAGATGGAGAAAGTACATGAACAACGTTACAACAACATAATACAAAATGTAAAACAAATTAAAGTATATGATTATGTTATGGAACGTGTAAATTAATAGAGAAAATAAAGAAAATTATGAAATATTCGAGTTATTTTATCAATTATCGGCATCTGAAGATACAACACTTAATGTAGTAGCAATACGAACTCGACTAACTATTCAATAAACCGAGTTATGATAAGAAAGAGCATAAAAAACTGAAACGGCACAAGCACATTACTAGCCGATATTGTCTTATTTGGGCTTTCTGTTATAGGCTTCCCCTTATAAAAGGTGGTTTGTTCTCCTCCTCAACTAATGTGGGACATCACAATCCACCCCCTTCGGAGCCCAGCATCCTTACTGGCACACTGGCTCGTGTCTACCCCTTTCAGGGAACAGCCTCCTCGTTGGCACATAGTTCGGTGTCTGGTTCTAATACCATTTGTAACGGCCTAAGCACACCGCTCGCAGATATTGTCCTCTTTGTGAAAAACTCTTTACAGGTGGACTATTTAATCCTTGAATTTTGAGTTGTAAATTTTAATTTTAAGTTTAATTTCTATTTGGTTTATAAATTTGGAATTTTGATTTTAGTTTTGGATTACACATTAAAGAAAATGTAATAAGTATAACAATAATTGTAAAATTGCTTAGTTCTACAATTAAAGGTAAAAAAAATTGACATAAAATTTAAAATGGTAATTCATAATAGTAACGATAATTAAAGTTAAAGTGAATTCCTAAACGAGATTTGAAATGCAAAAATAAAGCCTGTATTTACGATTTCAAACAGTCAGGTTATCCAGGGAGTGCTAGCGCAGTCGCCGTCGGAATCTTCCGGGTCGGGCAATTTATTCAGGTCAACCCGATCGGAAAACCCGCCGGAATCAGAACGAAGCTTGGTGGGTGTCGTTGTCGTGGTCGTGGCTGGTGACGGGGAAGGAGTTTGGTGAATTTGGTCGGCGGTTCTACAGTTGTGGAAGTGGTGACGGAGAGAGGACTCGAGGGCGTCGACACGGGCGCCGACCTCGGCGGCGATCTTGCGGACGGTGGAGGCGGAGATGTCGGCAGGGAGGGGGAAGGGGCGGTCGGCGGCGGCGGTGGTGAAAAAGTCGGGAAAATTGAGACGGGCAGAGGGGCCACGGAGGTGGAAGACGGCGGTGTCGTAGGCTCGGGCGGCGGCGACGGGAGAGGAGTAGGAACCGAGCCAGATTCGGGAGCGTTTGTTGGGCTCACGAATTTCGGCGACCCATTTCCCCCACTTTCTCATCCTTATCCCTTTGTACGGTTTCGTGTTCTCCCGATTCCTCCGTTCTTCTTCTCCCCCTTTCATCTCTCTCTCTCTCTCTCCCTTTGCTGAGAACTAAAATTTAAAAAAGGATTAATTTCTGGGGCTCTGTAGAAATTCCCTCTCTCTCCGGCGGGAATTTCAATCTCTCTGTCTCTCTCTCTCTGCTTCCGGCGAGAATTTCAATCTCTCTGCCTCTCTCTCTCTGCTTCAGGCGAGAATTTCAATCTCTTTCTCTCTCTAGTTTGGGCGTGGGAGAGAGAGTGGGGGGGGGGGATTTTGATAGAATTTTTGCATGAAATATTGAGAGAATTTTGTTAGGTACAATATGTAAGCGGCCAATTAATCTTTTTTATTTTTTATTTTTATTTGATGACAAAAAAAAAATAAAAAAATAAATTATAATTGGGCTGAGAAATCCAAATTCACCGACATAATCGACTCTCCCATTTAATTATTGAAAATTAAAAATAATTAAAAGGAAAATAAATAATAAAAAGTATTATGGTTGGATTTGGTTACTCCCAAATTTTTCCAAATTCATACAAAATGGCAACAAATTTTATCACCGGATTCACGCCCATCATTCCTTTCTTTTTATTTTATTTTATTTTTTATTTTTTACTCTTCACCTTTAAAATATTTCAATAATACTTTTAAACAAAAAAAAAAAATAAAAATATATCAACTTTTAAAAAATGTCAAAAATATTTTTTTATCATTTTTATTACATTTAAAAACTAAATTTAAAAATAACATTAATATCGGTAAAGTTTTAAAATGTTTTTACGATGAGTATGTATAAAATTGAATAAATAGCTGTACATATGTGATTTTTGTTCATATTGATAATAAAAAAAAATTAATTTTTTTTAATAAAAGTTAAAATATTATGGCTACTTTTATAAGAATAATTTTTAAGTTTTTTAAAAACTTAAAAGGTATT